AAAAAAAAAAAAAAAAAAAAAAAATGCTAAAAGAAAACCTACACTTAAAATCTAGAGTGTTCTCACTACAAAAAAATAAGCATGTAAAGTAATACACCATGTGTTAATTAGCTCAATTCAGTCATTCCACAACATACCCGTTATTTCAAAATGTTGTACGTGATAAATTATATATAATTTTGTTAAATAAAGTAAAAAATCCTTTGGAAGTTGTGTGGTTTTTTTTTTTGTATAAATCTGTTTATGTAAAGTTCAAAAACAGGCAAAACGAATCTAAGATGATGAAACTCAGAAAAATTGTTATGTTTGGGAGGTAATGGCTGAGAAAGGGCAGGATTGAGGCTCTGAGGTGTTGCCGTTATTCTGCATCTTCATTTGCCAGTGGTTACACAGATGTTTACAACATAAATATCTATCAGGCTGTATACACCTTTTCCTACTTTTTGAATGTTTGGTATACTTTAGTAAAAGTTTACTAAAAAGTAAAAATAAAATAGACGTTGCATTTCTTGTTAGCAAAATAAAACCACGGCAGGTATTTTGGTAAATATCCTATTTTTCTCATCTTCTACTGTTGCTGATGACGGGGATGGTATTCAGGTGAATGCTGTGTCGATTAGAATATCATTTTGCTTTAGCCTGTGCAGCCAATGCAGCTTCTTCACGCAACTTAGCCTTCTTCGACAAGTTCAAACTTGCTAAGGATTCATGTCGTTCTACAGCCTTTTTGACTGATGCTATTACAGCAAAGCAGGCGATAATTGAGTCCAATCATTAGGTAACAAACTTTCACTCGAGCTTTGTTTCTTGAAGTGTCTATCATGTCTGGCGGGACCCGAGGCGGGATCTCCTCCACCGATTTGAATCGCCCGGTCCACACCAGGATTTTCTTGCCGAACTGCGAAGGCCTGTGCTGCGCAGGGAGTCCGTGAGCCTCCCCGCGACCTTTGGGCGCAGAATTGCTGGGGGCTGCGCCGCTGGAGTACCAGGGGAGACCCCTGGGCGGAAGAGCCAGTGCAGGTAGCTGCGTGGCCTCGACAGGCGCTCCGGGGGCGCAGCAGATGGTTACCCGGCGGCCGAAGCGCAGGAGGCTCCCGACCGCCAAGAACATGTTGTCTGGTAGTCCCACGCCGCAATCGCACTACCCGGCCCAGCCACGGGCGGTCTCCCCGCATCTCCGCCCAGGCACGGCCCTACCGGCCCGCCGCGCCCTGGAGAGCCTGGGACGCGCAGCTGGAACCCCTGGCGCTGGCACACTCATGGAAGTTGTTTTAAGCATCAAATATGTGGAAATCTAAGAAGAATCTTGTTATTCCTGGTTCTTTCATAGAAAATAACAATCATGGGCCGAGCACGGTGGCTCATTCTTGTAATCCCAGCACTTTGAGAGGCCAAGATGGGTAAATCACCTGAGGTCAGGAGTTCGAGACTAGCCTGACCAACATGGTGAAACCTTGTTTCTACTAAAAATACAAACATTAGCGAGGCATAGTGGTACACGCCTGTAATCCCAGCTACTCAGGAAGTTGAGGCAGGAGAATCACTTGAACCTGGGAGGCAGAAGCTGCAGTGAGCTGAGATCACATCACTGCACTCTTGCCTGGGTGACATGTGCCAAGACTCCTGCCACAAAATAATAATAATAATAATAATAATTGTAGTTACAGCTACTCTAGAAGTTGAGGAAGAAGAATCCCAGATCCCCGGAGTTCAAGGCTACAGTGTGCTATTATCATGCCTGTGAATAACCGCTGCACTCTAGCCTAGGAAACACAGCAAAACTCTTATTTATTTAAAAAAAAAAAAAAAAAAAGGGCAGGGAGTCAGGGACACAGTAGTTCACACCAGTAATCTAAACACTTTGGGAAGCCAATACGGGCAGATCGCTTGAGCCAACACAGCAAAAACCCCATCTCTACAAAAAATACAAAAATTAGCCAGGCTCGGCCAGGCACGGTGGCTCACGCCTGTAATCCCAGCACTTTGGGAGGCCGAGGCAGGCGGACCCACAAGGTCAGGAGATCGGGACCATCCTGGCCAACATGGTGAAACCCCGTCTCTACTAAAAAATACAAAAATTAGCTGGGCATGGTGGTGCGCGCCTATAGTCCCAGCTACTTGGGAGGCTGAGGCAGGAGAATCCCTTGAACCCGGGAGGCAGAGGCTGCAGTGAGCTGTGATTGCACCACTGCACTCCAGCTTAGGTGACAGACTCTCTCAAAAAAAAAGGAAATAAAAGAAATTTAAAATCTTTTTATAAACCCAATCTACTGGTAAGAAAATTAAAACATAGACTTTCATTAATCTTTTCTGAGTTGAAACAAGTGATTAAGCTTACTCCCACCCGCTACCTCCCTACAAGACAGTGTCTTCCCTATGTTGTCCAGGCTTCTGTTTTGAATTCCTGGGTTTGAGAGACCCTCCGGCCTCAGCCTCCCAAAGTGGTGGGATTACAGGTATGAGCCACCACGCCCAGCCTATAATTTCTAGAACACCTGGGCTTTGCATCATGGTCATATCAAAAAATGGATCTTACTCAGGCATGGTGGCACACATCTATAGTCTCAGCTACTCAAGAGGCTGAGGCAGGAGGATCAGTTGAGCCCAGGAGATGGAGGCTGCATTAAGTTATGGTTGTGCCACTGCACCCCCAGCCAGGGAGACAGAGACCCTGTCTCAAAAAAATAAAAAAATTTCAAATGCTAGACCACAGGACTACTGGAGAAAAAAAAAATTAAAAAATTAAAAATCATATCTGCATTATGAGCCTATAAATACATTAAGAAAATCAGGATATATGGACCAAAGAGAAAACTAATGCCCAGGCCGGGCGCGGTGGCTCAAGCCTGTAATCCCAGCACTTTGGGAGGCTGAGGCGGGTGGATCATGAGGTCAAGAGATCGAGACCATCCTGGTCAACATGGTGAAACCCCGTCTCTACTAAAAATACAAAAAATTAGCTGGGCATGGTGGTGCGTGCCTGTAATCCCAGCTACTCAGGAGGCTGAGGCAGGAGAATTGCCTGAACCCGGGAGGCGGAGGTTGCGGTGAGCCGAGATCGCGCCATTGCACTCCAGCCTGGGTAACAAGAGTGAAACTCCGTCCCAAAAAAAAAAAAAAAAAAAGAAAACTAATGCCCAAATGAAAGTTGCTAGACTACTTTCCTCCTGTAACTATTAATGTGTTTGATGGCTGATAACTAATTTTATTCAGTTTTCTGCAATATTTACTCAATACAATTTCCATTCAGCAAAATTTTTTTTAAAGAATAAATTTTTTTCCAAAGGGCCAGCTAGAGCCTTTCTGCAGAACTTACGTCTATTTATGGTCCATTATAGAACAACTAAATTACTATGTAAAATCAGTGGATTTTAAGTTACTACGTAAAATCAGCAATTGTTGGCCGGGCATGGTGGTTCACGCCTGTAATCCCAGCACTTTGGGAGATGGAGGTGGGATGATTACAAGGTCAGGAGTTCAAGACCAGCCTGGCCAACATAGTGAAACCCCATCCCTCCTAAAAACACCAAAAAAATTAGCTGAGTATGGTGGCGTGCACCTATAGTCCCAGCTACTCGGGAGGCCGAGGCAGGAGAATCGCTTGAATCCAGGAGGCGGAGGTTGCAGTGAGCCAAGATGGCACCATTGAATTCCAGCCTGGGTGACAAGGCAAGACTCTATCTCAAAAGAAAAAAAAAAAAAAAAAAAATCAGTAACTGGCTGGGTGCCGTGGCTCACGCCTGTAATCCAAGGACTTTGGGAGACTGAGATGGGGCAGATCACCTGAGGTCAGTTCAAGATCAGCCTGACCAACATGTTGAAACCCTATCTCTACTAAAAATACAAAAATTAGCTGGGTGTGGTGGTGAGCTCCTGTAATTCCAGCTACCTGGGAGGCCGAGGCAGGAGAATCATTAGAACCCGGGAGGTGCAGGCTGCAGTGAGGCAAGATCACGCCATTGCACTCCAGCCTAGGCAACAAGAGTGAAACTGCATCTCAAAAAAACAACAACAACAACAAAAAAAAACTTTCCAGATGAGTTTAATACTCAGCCAGAATTAAGAACTACTGCTACAGGAAAATGAGACATCTACATTTCCAGAATGATGCCAACAGACATCTTCACTAACATGGTCACATATCTAACATTTTCCTGAAGTTAATATCACAAAGACAAAAGTACAAGTTCAAGACAAAAAACAGTATGAACAAACTTACCTGGAGGTACAGGTGGAGGAAATCCTGGAAACTGCGGGGGTGGGATCCCTGGTGGGAGTGCTGGGATGCCCATGGGAGGGCGATTCAAATGAGGGGGAAAAGACATTCTTACTGCAGCAGTCTAAAGAAAAAAAACATGACAAATCATTTGAAAACTTCCCAATTTCATACGCTTGCTTTTTTGACTTTCATTTTTAGAATATTTGCAAAATTCCGAACTTCTTACCCAAAGAAGTTAGCAAAGACCCTTTTTTCTCTGTTCATTGAGAATTCCAAAAACCTAGATCTTTTCTAAAAAGTTGCCAAAATATACACAATCTAAATTCAGGATAGACTCCTAGAACCATGTAGAAATAATATAAAGGAAGAAAAAAAATCTGAGGTTCAATTAATATCCAAAAATAATCAAACATAAATGAATCGTTTTAGACCAAACTGAGAATTCAGCTGAGTATCTAATAGTCTTTAAGTGTTCTGATACACTCATTTTTTTCTATCTATCAGAATCCTAAGAACTAAAGGTACCAAAAGTTAAACAGTATTTGTTGATTCAATTCTGGCCACTTCCTAAGGGACAAATGTGTTCATGAACCACTCAGTAGGGTGAAATAAACCAACTGTCCAGTCATGTAGTAACCATTCAAATATAAAGAGAATATACAACATTTGATAAGAGAAAAAAAGTCAGGCCGGGCGTGATGGCTCAAGCCTGTAATCCCAGCACTTTGGGAGGCCGAGGCGGGTGGATCACCAGGTCAAGAGATCGAGACCATCCTGGTCAACATGGTGAAACCCCGTCTCTACTAAAAATACAAAAAATTAGCTGGGCATGGTGGCGCGTGCCTGTAATCCCAGCTACTCAGGAGGCTGAGGCAGGAAAATTGCCAGAACCCAGGAGGCAGAGGTTGCGGTGAGCCAAGATCGCGCCATTGCACTCCAGCCTGGGTAACATGAGTGAAACTCCATCTCAAAAAAAT